TAAGTAACACTGCAGCTGACATGCCTGTTTTGATTTGCTATATTAATCTTCCTTTCTCTGTTTCTGTCAAAAGTAGAGTAAAAGCACTTCATACAATAGCATGGTGGGTCGTTGGGGTGCATGTTTTAAGTGTCAGATATGACTTTGCTCTCATCATCTCTTTTTGACCTTACCTTTTTAACCAGAACTGGGTAAATAATTGTGGGGAAAAGAAAATAAAAACCAAGTGCGTTTCAGGCATCTGGGAGAGCAGAATGAAGGAGATATGAGAGGTGGTTCTGGTGGCTGCCTGGAATATTGTTATGCTGCTTAGTAGCAAAAGCAAAGCCACCAGAGGAGAAACAACCCTGTACTTTACATTAGGGACCCTTACATAAGGAAGGTAATTGTCAGGTTAATTAAATCTTGTTGATTGCACCTAGGTTGACAGGTTTGTGGTTTTTTTTTTTTTTTTTTATTTTCCCTCCTGAGTTCTAGGGCACTAAACTGTTAGTACTGCTGCTTTACTGGATAGGAACATTTCCATTGGCAAATTATATATTCTCCCATAGTCATTGGATCCTTCGATAGTTTGAGTGTGGCCTCGGAACTGATAGAAAGACACTTAGACATGAGGAGTGAGTTAYTGTGGGTCTGTGCTGTTTTCTGCGGAGAGGAGCAAGGCTCCTTCCAAAGGGAGATACTGAACACTGGACTTCAGGTGTTCTAGTATCTTGATCTGGAAACTGAAGCAGAGGTTTAAGGGATTCATCTCTTCTATATACCAATTGTTTGTATGAATAACCTATAGATAACTACCTTTTTTTGTCTTATCTCATTTTTTCCTCCCATACAGTAGGTGCCATTTTGGGGTATTAAGTCTGCTTGTGTAGCTGTTCTTGCTTACTGCTGTTTTTCATCATTTTTCTCTGAAGTTGCTGTGATTCCTGCTGGGCGGGGGTTTCGGTGATAAGAAATGGATGTGGCYCCTTTTCCATTTAATGTTTTGAGCAGTTTAGCTTGTCCAAGGTGAGAGGCAGTGAATCAGACAGYGACTTTCTTGAGCCTTTTTATGCATTGTTGAGCAGGGAAGTAATGTCTGCTCACGTGCTCCTTGTATGACAGAGCGTTTGGGCATGTAGCCTGTTAYGCTTGTAATAATCTATAGTTATTAAAAGTACTAAGTTGATTGGACTTTTTTTATCCAGTTTACTCTAAAAAAGAGAGAGGGAGTAAACCGAGAAAGGATTCCTCTGTTCCCCAAAGTTATTAAATCTGCTGGCAGAAATATCTGTTCTGAAAGATAAACAAAGAAAGGATTCCTCTGTTCCCCAAAGTTATTAGATCTGCTGTCAGAAATATCTGTTCTGAAAGTGATAACAGTGACTTCATTTCATCTATTTTAAAAGCCACGTATTTTTCTGAAATAGCCCATACCACTGAGAGGGAATTGCATAGCACGGCTGGAACCTTTGCTTTGAATGTAGTTTTGGGGGTGGGCTGGGGTGGGGATTACCAGTCATTGTACAGCTTCCTAAAGGGGCAAAAATTCTCTTCATGTCAGCCTGCCTTTATGTTTTCCTGTATGATGATTTAAACTGAAAAAGCAGTTATTAATTAGTAATTAAAACCGCCTAAAGGCGTTTGCTGTTTGCTAGATAGTCATTTTCATGGCTGTGCACCTGTGTCTGTTGTGACAAATACTGTGCTTTATTTGGAGAATGGTCCCTTATCTCTCATGCAAAGAGAAAATTGCTGAGAAGAAGCTGGGAGGCTTTGGTAGCCTTCTCCTCATTACCAGCAAGGAGCTAACAGGCAAAGGGCAGTGGTCTGCACTTCTAAAAGCATACAGCATCTGAGCTTAAATATCTGCATATATTGTTTAGGAATCCATCTTTTAAGCAGTAAAGGGGGAAAAAAAGGACACTTAAAAGGTTGAATTAATGTAATACACAAGTTCAAACCTGTGCTGTTCTTCATTGTGATCTGGTCATCCCAGTTGAATGTGATGCGCAAGATCTCCCACTACCTTACGTGTCAGCCTTGCTCAGTGCGTTGTGCCTTAGTTGCATAAGAAGTTGCTGTAAAATCAGTTGTGGCACCAGCTGAAGCTTGAGCATGGCTGGGCTGTGCAGTCTGTGCCCAGCGGCAGGAAAAGAGCAGGGCTGTGTGGTAGCCTGGCGCTTGCTGAAGGAGGGAAAGCTGAAGTTACCGTGTGGTAATGCAACCTTGGGGATGTAATTTTGAACTTAGAGCCAGTGCTCGGTGCTGTGGTTTCAGATTTGCACCTTTCAGGTTTTACAGGGCAAAGCTGCAGTGCTAAATTTGACTTTGCCTAGCAATGAGAGAAGGTGCGGTAAAAACTAGTTAATTACTGTTTTTCTTCAAAGTTAAGACAGACAGATTGGAAATGTGGACTGCTGATTGTGTTGGTTTCCCAGTGTGTTGTGGTCAGTGKTCACTAAAAGGGAGAATATTTTGTTAATGTCGTGGGGTTGTTGATACCCGTGAGTGAAAAGTGGAGAGCTGCCCCTCTGTGACGATGTGGGACACGGTGTCTCTGTCCACATGTCTCTGCAGGCCCTGTTGCTGATGGCCTGGGCACAGTGCTCAGCCTGGGTCCCCAGTGCTCCCCAAGATGTGCCTTCTGTGAGAAGGGGACTAGTCGATGTATGTTTTGCTTCTAGTCATTTGAAAGTTTGCACTTGGCTGTTAAAATGTTGTTCAGGCAATATATATATATATATATTTTTATCCTACTCCAGCTTTGGCCTGGTGGCCAGCAGGTGAAAGTGCTGTCCCCTCAGTATCGAATTCCAAATTCTTGCTGCTTGTGCTAGGGAGATGATCAGTAAGAACTAACAGGTTGCAAATGTATGGATGGGGATTTTATTGTTTTGTTTTTTAATGCAATGCTTGCTTAGTCTGTGTTACTTAGACAGGGAGATGAGTTTTCCAGTGGAAAAAAAACAGGGAGCAGCAATCACAGCATCATTATCTCTGGTGTATTTATAGCTGTGGATTGCAAACATGCACCCAGCTACAGGTGGCCTCTGGTAATTTGAAAGGAAGACAAGTACAGCTGGTGAACCTTTTCCCCTGGCACTCTGCCCTGGCTTTCTGCATCATAAGATCCTGGAAACTGAGGAATACTTCTCATTTTCTGTTTTGCTTGTATCAGTGTTGATAGAGTAACACTTTCATCTTGCTCTATCACATTATGTCAAAACATCTTTGTTGATAGCAAGCATTATATGGGTCTGGAAAGCACAGTGGATGCATGCCTGCTTGTGTAAGTTGTTGGAGGGGGGGAAAATATTAATTTTGCARGAAGGCTAATTAGAAAATCTTCATGCAAAAATTCTTTCTCCTTTAGAAGTAACTGAAATACCCCAGAACTATGTAATTGCTCTAATTTTGGCTAAAGCAGCTCATTTGGAATGAAAAGGGCTTGACCTTAAAAGTTGGCTAGGTTGGAGAGACCATGGGAATAAGAAGAAAGGGAGATCCATGTAAAGCCTGATTGGTAATGCTAGTAACGTCCCTCAGTTAAAGGTGAGCTYCTGTATGGCAGTTTGGCACTGTGCTACAGGTGGACTTTAATCATGCAGAATATGTGATCACTTGTTATAGTGGATCTTTAAAATCACACCACAGCAAAAACACCAGGTAGAGTTATCTGTTACTTCTAGGAACAATTGGAATAAATTGGATTTCAAGGTGCAGAATTCCACAAAGGAAACTGCAAAGCATATATTGGGACAGGTTTGTATTGGAGGTTCTTTGGGTTATGGGAGAAGAGCCCCGTTTAAATATGTGTATTAACACAGTTGTCTGACTTGTGACCATTTTATGATGACAGGTTTTCAAAGATGCTTTGTCTGTATGTGCATGAATGAATATTATGTTTGTTTAATTGTAGATATGTGAAAAGTACAATTGATAGCAAATTAATACTACTAATAATATACAAACAATCTATCCTTAAATACTTACAAATGATCTTTGAGAAAATATATTATGGGTTCTCTAGATTTGCCTTATGATTTAAGGAGCCTCTAGGGTCTGCTTGCATCATGATTTATGTCTTTTCCCCATAGCCATGGGAGCTAAAAATATTCCTTCTCTTCTCTATGGAAAGTTGAGTCTCTAATGCCTGAGTAGAGAAACAGAGGCTCCAGTAAAAGAAAAAGGAAAGAAAGAAAGAAAGAAAAAAAACCTACAACTATATGGCTTTAACAAATACCTTATAAATTAGAATAGCCTAACACAATATATATAAAATTGTGAAGCTGGAATATCCCCACTTTCAGTTCTTTTTCCTTTTGAACAAGCACTATTCATGTTTTGGTGGATTAGGAAGGAAGTTGCAGAGTTTGCAGTTYGGCAGAATCGTGCTCTGCAGTAAGGAAGAATTGCACTTCTGTGCTTTAGTGTGCTGCTCAGCTGGGCTCTCACGTTCCAGAGCCTGGGAACTGATTTACTGATTTGAGTTGCTGGGACATATGGTGATAATAACAATAACGTGGTATAAGCATTATTTAAAAATACAATAATACACTAGGTTGTGGGGTTTTTTTTTCCTGCAGGACAGCACTGAATTCACACATAAAATATCATTTATTTAAGTTTAGTCTCATCCAATTTTAAGCAGTGGAGATCAATACTTCTTGCAGATATCAGTCAATAGATGGGAAAAAGCAGTCAAGTGGCACTGTTACAAAGAACAGACTGTAGATGTTGAGAGAAAATACACATATGTATGAACTTTATGCAGGCTTCTGTCTTTCAAGGTCTTTTATTACACTGTGCAAGTGTGTGCTTTTTATTGATACCATTGTTAGTGTTTGTCCACCATATAAAATACATATGTAGTTTGCAGTCATAAAATTGAAATAGAAAATGAATTGTTACGAAATCTGGTGCCTTTTTCAAGCTGAAATGTGGAGTGCCATGCACTCTAAGCCTGTAAAACAGTCAATGAATACTATTTAAAAAAAAATAATATTTTTTCCTTTCAGATATGTGTCACAAAGATGTCTACACGGAACTGCCAGGGAATGGATTCAGTGATCAAACCTCTGGATACAATTCCTGAGGATAAGAAAGTCAGGGTTCAGAGGACGCAGAGTAGCTTTGACCCCTTTGAGAAGCCAACGAATCAAGTGAAGAGGGTTCACTCGGAGAACAATGCTTGCATCAACTTCAAAACATCGTCTGCAGGGAAGGAATCGCCCAAAGTCCGACGGCATTCCAGCCCCAGCTCCGTAAGTTCCTAACACCTGTAGATGTACTAGTTCGTGGAATAAACAGCACTGAATACATGTTTTCTCTCCTACAAAGGAAAGGAGTACTTAAAGCAAGGAGTTTGTGGCTGCTGCTGAAAGTGTTTTGTGTTTAGCTGTARGATATAAAGTATGTGTGGATATACATGTATACACACATACATATGTGTATGTAAAATGTGAAAATAAAACTTGAAAAAGCAGTGAACTTTGAGATTCTTCTCAGATAGTAGCWAATGTATCTCAAGCATTTTACAGTCCTGTTTCTCTTGGGGTGTTACAGCTTCTATATGTCTGTGAAGCATTTTTGCTGAAGATTGCTTTTTTATGAAGGGGGAAATTTAGGGAACCCTGTGAGTTGCTCTTTTGTTTTTTAGATTTAGGTTTTGGAGAAACCTCAGAATAAATAACATTTGACAGTGTTTATTTACATTTGAAAATTCTGTCAAAACTAAAATAGTAAAAATGTGGTTTGTTTTTTTAACCTGGCAGAATTGGTATGTGTAYATGTGTATGTAAGCAAAATCAGCTGAGAAGGGATTGGTAATACATTACCATTTCTTTTCTTTAGTATTTTGAAGAAAAACTAGATAAAATGTCATATCTTTTATGAATAAAGCCCAGACAGATTTTCCCCAAGAGACCTTCAGAATTATTGAAAAACTATTTCTGTTATGCTTTGGCAGGAAAAATCCATAATAATGTGACCTTTGAGTTGAAGATTACAGATCTAAGCAGAATGCGTATAATACTTCGGTTATTACTTGGCATGAAAATAGCTTAAAAGGTTGATTGCCTCTTCCTACAACATTGTCTCCCAGTCTTGTGGACATCATCTGTCCCTCTGTTCAGAAGTTTGGCTAAATTCTGTCCAACTTCTAAAAAGAAATGCCAGAAATTTATTTTCTGTAGATGAGCTTTGTTTAGCCCMGGTGAACTAACAGGTAAGATGTCATGCCTCTAAGGGACTGTCCTTTGTAGAAAAGGTTGCATTTTAAAATGTAACCATCTATAACAAAAATAAATTTGCTTTTCCATCATCATGTCATGATATATATTTGCTGCCAAAGATGTCTCCTGCATGTTCCAGATCAATCCATAACAAGGAGTTCTGYGTGAATGGAGAACAGCTGTAAAGCCATTACAATCCCCAAAGCAGGACTGGTTTTTTTCAGCTTGCTTTGGAGGTAGTTGCTTCATGCAGGCATTTCAGCCATGTATATTCATTGTTTTTCATGTTATTCAGTCTATRGCTATTTATTTTCTTATTAACATGTTCTAAAATAATTCTTAACTCTTTTTAGAAAATGAAAAGCTCGGTGTCTGATGCAAGTTTTAAAAAAAAGCAAATTATATTTGGTGCCTGTTTATTATTTGGCACCACAATTGTTAATTTAAAATGAATTTGCTATTGAAGTTTTTGGGTTTTGTTTGTAGCATTAGCTCATTTCCCATCGCTGCTTTTTCCTCTTAAAAACTAGTACTCATTTCAGTGAATGCTTCACATTCTTCTTTTCTGTTAACACTAGAAGCTTTGGTTTGCTTTTGCTTCCAAATTTTTGMAGCAGATGTATTTTGACATCTTTACCCGAAGTCTTGCTCCTATTTCCCAGAGGACCCACGCCATCTCCAAGGATCCCAGTGATTTCCCATGTAAATGATATTAATGCCTCCTCAGCTTGCATGTGTCTGGCTACAGCCCTAGCTAAACAAGAAGCTTTGCTGATCTTCTCTCATGAAGAGTTGCATGGAATTGGTAGGGGCTTCTTCTGCGTTGGAGTAGATACATAGGAATTTCCTGAAATATAGTCTGATTTTTTTTTAAACTTCTTGTAGTTCTACCCGGTTTACAGAGCTCTGGTCTGTGAAGTGGCTTCTTTCTCACTGCTGCAAGGCAGTATGAGTCATTTCTTACTCTTGCTCATAAGAGTGATCGTAAAGACTCCCAAGGGAAAATAATTCACGGCATAGTGACGGTGCCTGTGTCAATGGAAGGGAAAAGAAGTAGCTTCAGCAAGGGGCAGTGGTGGCCTCCGTGCTGGTCAYGGGTCACACATGGCCTGGCCCTACGTCTACATTGAAGTCATCGAGCCAACTCCGCATTTCCTCTGTGTTGGATGTGGTGCCTCAAGGACGTGTCCTTGAGTGTTTGTATGTGCGGTTGGTGGTGGGAATTCACCATTCTCTTATTTTGAATAACACATGGATTGACTGAGGGATTTTAGCTTCATTTTGTCTGAGTGCTGGTGTTGGGTAGCAGGTATGCTTGCTGCTTTCTCTTTTCCTTTCCACCAGGATTGAACTGTACCTTGGGTCTCTGGAGAAAGCGTCCCTGGTGTGGATGATACCAATCCAAACTGGCATTTCAGTTTCTGCAAATACTCTGCTGAGGATGTTGTGCTGGATCGTAGTGGGTACAGATAGACCATTTGCTTCCAGTCTGGCTGTGCTTTCCATACTCTTTTTAAGATATGCTGGTAGATGAACGCAACCTGCAATTTTCACTTTCCACACTTCATTACTAGAGGTGTGGGAACTGCAAGTGGCTTCCTTCTAGACTCAAGATGGCTCCTGAAGGACCATCTTTAGATGGTCTAGGCCTAGGGCACTAGGTTCTGYTCAGATTAGGCTCAGACTTGCTGGCTGCCTGGCAATTACCAGCTTCCATGTGTGAGGATCACCTAGGAATACATCGTCCGTTTTGTGTTTTCTGAAGCTTCTGCTGTTGGTGGGTGAAAGCTCTGCTCTTCCASGGGAGAGAGGGCACATGGAGAAGTCTGGGAGAGCTGGGGCTCAGCATTCCTGCCCTCACGCTACCACTCAGGAACTAAATCGTTCGCTCTTGAACATGAAGTAAACTTCTGCAGGTGATGTCGCAGCTCTCCACAACCCTGCAGCATTCGGTGTCATTCATTAGTGCCAGAGCACAGAGGAGTGAGYGAGCACGTTATCCTTTCAAAAGAAGGAAAAAACTTTAAAGTCATTTTACCTGATGGTTCAGTAGTCATTGTGTAATAGAGTAACATTGTATTTAGTTTTCATGTTTTCTTTTTGTAAGAAGAAATAAAACGTCTATGAATGAGTACAAAACTCTTTGAATGCTATTACTGAATAAAACTTTCATCAGGACCCACATATGCTCTTTTAATGTATTGGGCTTGCTGTTTGGGTGCTCTTCCCCTGGATGGGATGRCCTGGGCCTGGGCCTAGGCCTAGCCGTGCGTGCCCCATTGGCCGCCGTTGGCAGAGGCAGCTTGGCCAGCACAGCTGCTGTTAAGCTCCGCTCCAGGCCTGGTGCGTRACTAATAGTGGCTGCTTGTTGAGCAGACAGCTCCGGCTTGAAATCTAGCCTTTCAAAAGTTGAATTTGTCAGAGGGCACCTGTCAGCTTCTCTGGAGTTAGAATTAAACTTCATATATGTTTGTGCACAGATATACATCTTCATTGACTATCAGCATGAAAATCTTTTGCCTACAAAATAAAGAATCTTGGTTTTCTCTTACAAAAGAATAAAGAGTAGAATAAACTGGCTGAGGAGGAAGTGGGGGAAGGACAACTCAAAAACAAAGCCCTCTCCACCAAAAATATACTTGTTTCAGATGATGTTTTGAATCTGTTTGAGATTCCTCCTTTCTGGGCATTTGGCCTTATTTATTGTTCTCTAGTTTAAGATAAAGTTTTATTGTATATGAGGTACACATTTTATATACTAAAATAATACTGTTGCACAGTACGTAAATAGAAGTTTGCATATTTTATAACCTGGACATCTGGTGAAGATTTAGTTACCTGATGGTACACAGCAGTGTTTATTTTTTGATTGGCTTAAGATCCATGGCAATGATCAGCTAATTCAAATGTCATGCCAGGTTATGCACACTACCCTTCAGTTACTTATTTAAATCTAAATGTAGTGAAACACTACCTACTCACATAAATGTAAAATACACCCTGGGGTGAAAATGAATTGGCTGAGTAGGGTGTTGCTGCTCCTTTTTTTTGCACTAATTTTTGCACTAATGCCTTTTGTCTCCTTTTCTAACTTTAATTTTCAGTTGTATTATATGCAACTTTCATCTAAAAGGAAATGCATCAATATGCATGAATTGATTCTCTTCACACTTTGTGAATCTGTTGCATAAGAGATCTAACTGCAAAGCAGAAACACGACTTGCTTATTAATAGAGCAACTGCGAATTAGCCGTAGTCAGGAGTTTGTCTCAAAGTACAACATCTTTTGTTTCTGCCTTAGCACTTTGTGTGCCCTGCTTACCAGTCTGTTCTGGTGTAAGAAACCTTTTCTATATTTATGAATCCATTACTTAAAGGGTAACTATGTCCCTTCCTAGTGGGCTTTTTGTGGATGTAAAGTAATTCCAAAGATCAGTGTAGAGAGTTGATTTTTCTTTTCAAGGACAAGGAGATATAGATGTCTGTATGTGTGTGTGTGTATATATATATATTTATATTCCTGTGTGTGTATATATTTTATTTGCAGGGTAATGTTTAAATGATAAAAAGTAGTAGTTGATCCAGCTCTTATGCTTTAATAGTCTGGAGCACAAGAAAACAGCTTTAAAAACTTGGTGTGCCCTTTGAGAAAGTGCTCTATGGAAACTCCGTCTCACGTTGCTCTTAATTTATGGCTGTATCCTGAAGAGATTGAAAGATGTAAGTGACAGGAGGGGAATTGGACATTAGGATACCTCTGTTTAATATTCAGTTTGGATTCTTGTACATCTCTGCATCCTTTGAGCACTGTCCTTCAGAACAGTCCAAATTGCAATGTTTAAAAAGAAAGGGGGAAAAAAAAAGGTCAAATTGACCRATTATTGCATGTAGGAACTGAAAGAAAACCAAAAGAAAAAAAGCAAATTATTGTGAAACTTACATATAGTTCTGTAAGGAAAGCTTTGCCTTTGTGCCAAGGGAGAAAAGCTTTTGTTTAAAATATATAAATAAATAGATTCATTTTKTGCAAT